CAGAAATTATAAATTATAATAAAGTAAATTATCGTAATAATATATCGAATAAATTCGTAGATCGAGGATAATAATAAAAATATAATTTATTTTTTTAATTAATGTATATATAATACCATCAATTTTTCTTTATTAACAGCTCCATCATAATTTGTTTAATGACAATTATTATATTTCATTCGTATCAGAAATTATAAATTATAATAAAGTAAATTATCGTAATAATATATCGAATAAATTCGTAGATCGAGGATAATAATAAAAATATAATTTATTTTTTTAATTAATGTATATATAATACCATCAATTTTTCTTTATTAACAGCTCCATCATAATTTGTTTAATGACAATTATTATATTTCATTCGTATCAGAGATTATAAATTATAATAAAGTAAATTATCGTAATAATATATCGAATAAATTCGTAGATCTGCTACAAATTAAATTGTAATTATATAGGATAACTGTGCCTGTCCCTATTAGTATGCTTTTGTATTTCGATAAGTCAAAGAAAACTAGCACAAATAAATAAGAAAAAATATTATTTTTTGTTAAATTAAATTATTAATGTATACGATATCCCTCAAAGATAATATTTTATTTTTTGAGTATTAAAGTATTTTAAATATTTTTCAAAAGATATGAGGAATTTATGTAAATCCAATAATATTATACATACTTTAATGTGCCTTGTATTGGAGCTGAGAATGTTGTGTTATGAGTGTACTTTGAAATAAATATAATTGAAGTAATGATTTAGGTAATATTAACATATATAAACAATTAGCTTAAATGTATTATCTGTTTTAGTAACTATATATAATATTAAAATGAATCAAATGTGGATAGGCACACAAATTAAGGACACATTAATAGGACCATTGTCGCTGAGAGGACTCACTAATAGGAACAAAAACATATTTTCTATTTTTATCAAAAGCATTATAAAGTATTAATATTTTTTTAGATTAAAGAAATATTATAAGAAAAAGAAGCAGTTGAAAAACTGATAATTGATTGCAAGCAAACAAAATTAAAGCTACAATATTTAATAATTAATTCAGTAATAAGCAAATTGGCTAAAAAGCACATTAATAGAGATAGTTACCCTATCCATATAAAAACGAGAATATAATAAATAAAAGACGAAAATAAATTATTTAACTCCATTTATAAACTTAAATTAATTCTTTAAAGATTTAAGCATGTCTATAAGTAAAATGGATAAATAGAAAGAAATTGATAAATGTGAGATTTTGACATCGACTCTCGTCCTTGTCAAGTTATAATGCAGCACTCAGACAGTCTCGTTGTGGTACACCGCGGTTTTCCTGGAATTCTTGATGACGTAAAATGCAAATTAGAGAAGAACTTCCCACTACTGATCCCATATTCTCGTCAACAGCCAGCAGCCAGCAGCCAGGCAGCACTCGGCAGTCTCGGCAGTCTCGGCACTCGGCAGCAGCCAGTTTCTACTACCAGTCCGTCCTTGTTACGCGTCGGCGACGTTGGCGTTTGTTTCGACCGCGGTACTCTCGTGACTCATCTCTCCTCGCCGGAGGCAGTAAATTGAACGGTGTTTTTTGTCGTTGTCATTCATACACGTCACGATAGCAGGAGCTCGTGATTCAGTGAACAACCTCAAGTGAGTATCGAGAGCTGATGACATTATAAATTCTACAAGACTTAACGTAGCATATCGTTCATGTAGAGTTTATGTGTTTCGTAACGAGAACAACTTGATATTTCGTTGGCTGGTACCAATCTGTTTAATTGTTTTCTCTTCAAGGGTGAATATTCTCTCTCACTTCCTGACATATGGCGTGGCACGTGTTAGTTTACAAATAAATAATAACTGTAATTTGCGATATATAACTTATAATATATTATGATTGTTTCGCGCGGTCTTATTCCAGCAAATAACAATGCTCTATAGAGTCCTATAATACGTGTGTTTATCGGAATTGTTATCAAATTATGTATCCAATAACCAAACGTGTCAACACATTAGTGCATGCTGAGGGCATCATGCAAGCATTATTCTGTTACTGTACTATTTTCTGACGATAAAGCAGATGTTTATATGGTACTCACAACTAGTCAGGACATGCAGACGAAATTTTAGGTTTGATTATTGGCATTTTATTAGCACAAATTCGCAAAACGCGCAGATCAAATGTTGTTAGAATTCATATGCGAAGTTAGATGGATATCATAGCGTTCCACTTAACGCTCGCAACCACTCGCGACGCTCGCGCGAGCATTGCTTGTCCTTGTTTAACATTTGATGAACAACAAGGATGAAATAATTCCACGTTGTAAGCGTTAAATGAAACGCAGTCATGGCGACAACGTACACTGCACACATGCATCCATTAACTCGAACCTCATATTCCACATATGTACAAACACCGAGCACTGAATTGGTGAAAAACGGGTTATAGAAATAATTTATCCCTATCATTCATTTTTCATTACTCACGCTTGGACGTTAAAAGTAGCAAGCGTCAGTGTCTACAATGTCTGCATGAGAATCCGGGCTGGCGAGTGTTTTGTTATCTGCAGGATATATATCATGCCATTACTAGCTGAATCGCCATTTAATCATTTCCATAGTGCAGTGTAGATAGAGGAAGTCTATAATTTAGCGTTCTTCTCTGTGTGCAGGTTCTCCCCTTGCGACAGTTTAATTCTTGAATAGAAAAATGAGCTACGGTTACCAAGTAAGTACATACATTTGATTTATTGTTAAACAATTGAAGAGCATATTTTTAAACTGTGTTAACTCCATATTTTTAATGAAAATTCTTTGGATGTTGTGTGTATCTAGGAAGATTATATATGCATATTTCTAGATAGATAATTATTAGCATATTGTCTGAATAATGATAAAATTGGAAATTGAAAATGGCTGCATAAATACTCAAAGATGTGTACTCATGAATGTTTTCAGCGTATAGAGAGTTCTTCTGCTGTAAAAATTACGGCGATGTGCTGTTTATGATTGCTATATTGTAAAATGCATAAAATGTATAACAACAATATGACATTATAGTATAGATATACAAATTTATTATAATTTCGTGCTGTTATGATAACATCACAGTATACATAAAAATGTTTGTATGCTTAACGTTATGTTTATCTGGGTTATAAAGCTATGATAAATTTTTTATTTTGCTTGAAAATATGAACCGCAGTCTATTAACACAATCTATTAATGTAGTTTATTAACATAACTTAAAAATAAGCTCATTATTTGAAGAAAATAATTAGACGAAGCTTCCACGAATTGGATACTATTTGTTTTTATGTGTGTGTGTGTATATATATATATATAATACCTTAATATCCAAGGGACCACCTATTCAATTTCCGGGACGAGCACGACCACCATCGTTTGGAGCTCCACCTGGTACACCCTCTGCCCCTAATGCTCTATCTTATTCTCCGATGGGCTTCTCAAATGTTCCACCGACATCATTTGGCATGCCTCAACCATACTCTCAGGCTCCCTATCCAATACAGCCTTCGCATCCTTTCTCTGGCAATGCACCTGGTCAAACTAATACTTATCCTCCACAACAAATGCCATATCCCCAATCTATGCCCACGTGTTATCCCACTGATACACACTCTAATCAATCTGCACCATCTCCTTATCCCCAACAACAAAATTATAATTCATATCCTAATCTTCAAACAGCACCAGATGCTAAAGAATATTTTAGCAATATAACTCCTTCCCCTTATCCTTCTGGACCAAATGCACAGACAGCTAGTTCAATTCCATACCAAAGAAATAGCTATCCCGGGGGGCAGGGGGTAAGCTCACAGTATCCTTATGCTGCTAATCTTACTGCTGCTACTCGTGGTACTACCCCAGCCCCCCGGAGAGATCAGTTTACGTCTAAGGTGAGATTAAGAATAATTCTTTTAAGACTTTTCAGAAAATTAAAACATTTTTTGCACAGGTATTAAGGCAGTTATTTCAATCTTGCAGAAAAGTAAAAACTTCTATTACTCTTTGCAAATTATGTAAATTTTTTAAAACTTTACAAATTTTGTTATAGACTTCTCCCACGGTAGTACCTTACGATGACTTTGATGCCAGAGCGGATGCTGAAACTTTAAGAAAAGCTATGAAAGGATTTGGCACTGATGAAAAAGCTATTATTCATGTTCTTGCAAATCGTAGTAATCTACAGCGTCAAGAGATTACATCTCAATTTAAGACCCTTTATGGAAAGGTACAGTATATGAGAATTTAAAAACTTCGTTTAAGAACTTTGTTTTGCAAAATTAGAACTTAATACTACAATATATTGCATTTCTGTTAACAGGATCTGATAAAGGACTTAAAATCTGAGCTGTCAGGAAACTTCGAAAAACTTGTTCTTGCCTTAATGATGCCTCTACCTCAATTTTATGCTAAAGAACTCCATGATGCAATGTCTGGTCTTGGTACCGATGAGACAGTACTCATTGAAGTATTATGTACAATGTCCAATCATGAAATTTCGATTATTAAACAAGCATATGAAGCAAGTAAGTTAACTTATGAGATTAAGATTACAATTACATTAAAATTAAATAATATTAAAATTACAAAATGACATTTACTTATTTGCTTATTGTACTATTTAATAATTACAGTGTATCGAAAAACATTGGAAGATGATTTAATTTCTGATACATCTGGCAATTTCAAACGCTTGATGGTATCATTATGTTGTGCCAATAGAGATGAATCATTTAATGTGGATCAATCTGGTGCAATGGAAGATGCCAAAAAACTTTTGCAAGCTGGTAATTAATAG